CAAACAAAGTGAGAGCAGATGTATAATGGAGGTTCAATTTATATTGTTGCTCAAAAAATGCCACAAGTGCGATGAACGAACATTAATTGTATATCGATAACATAAGTTCCTGCTGCCGAAAGTTTGACTTCAAACTTTTGTCTATAATAGCGTTGTCAACTGTTGCCATCTTTAGCGTGGTTGCGACCGTGCCGTTGTCAATATGTAGGAAGTTCGCTCGATTGGTTAGGCTGATGGTTCGTGTACATACGCATATCGCTAGACCGACATTCATGGACTGTATCATCAATAAATAAGGATATCCAATACATATGTAAAGACGGATTGAAAAAGCAAGGGTAGCATTCTCACAATTGAAGAACATCGAGAACTCAGATCAACAGTCAGCTAATGCCACTTAGAAAATTTAGTACCAATATTAAAACAGTTCTATTGTACGGAGCTAAAACTTGAACTACTACAACCACTATCAAAAAGATATAGGGAGTTATAAACACCTGTTTACACATAACACACCAGATTCATTGGTCAGATACCATAAGCAATAATCGACTGTGGGAGAAAACAAACCAGCTTCTATATGAAGAGGAAATCAGAAGCCGCTGGAGTTTGGATAGGTCATACTTTAAGGAAATCACCAAACTTCTTCACGGGTAACGAACTAACTTGAAGTACTCAAGATGAAGGACAAAAAGGCAGATCAAAAAAATAATAAATTACGCATGGAATCGTGGGCGGACGTCAAAAGAATGGGCAGTGCTTAGTAACAACCTGTTGTGTCCCGATAAGAATAATGAGTGGTAATTTTTTGGGATCTATTTATGAACCAATACTGTGCGTATATTTTTGTCGTATAACTGTTAATTAACTAAGCTATTCATATTCATGTCTCTCTTATCATAAGCTTTATTTTAACATATGAACCGTTGTTATACGGTTTTCCATTCTTGAATTATTCCCTGTCTATTAATCACTACCTCCCACATTCACAGCCGTATATAGCCAAATTTTGTACAAATGTTATTTTGTATTTTATGCTACTTTGTGGTCTGTTTGATTGGTATATAAACTCAGTATGTTTGAAATATAAGGATTCATATTGCAGAAGGCTGAGACTGATTTTCTGGACTTAACTGGCTGGGCTAGGCGGCAAGCAGGACCAATCAGGACTCTAGGCTGCCCGCACGTGTTTTACGTGTCCTTGGTCAGATCGATAATTCGCTGCTTCTGATTGGCGGCTTCGGGCTATAACACAACCAGAAAGGAGAGCACAAGACAGAGTTGGCTGAAGATTCCTGGTTGATGGCTTATGCTTCAAGAGGAGCAACAAGTTTATTTAAGTACCATTTCCTAGACAAATCTCATCAGTTGATTTCGAGATCTTACATTATTCGACAATCAAGTTACTATCCTTGAAAGCATTCTATACATCTTATTGAAATCATGAGTCAATTGAAGCTAGACCACCATTGAAAACCTGGAAGCACTGGACGGCCGTTTCGTCCTGGTACGGGACTCCTCAGCAGTGCGCATCCACGATCCCGCACCACGCGGGGCTCGAACCCAGGACCTACTGGCTTCGCGCGCGAGCGCTTAACCACGAGACCACTGAGTCAGCCGGCATCCAACGGTGTTAATGTCTAACTTCAACCAATCCACGAAGTTGCGCCACCGTACACCATTGTCTTCAGTGAGTTGTTATCTCACAACAGACCGGTTGAACTCCACTGGTAACGGCTTCTCACTAGAACTTCAGGAGTTTTTCCTGAAGTCAGTCACTAGTGAGCAGTTGATTATTATTATCAGAATGGGTTTTGTGGAGAATTTTAGAATTTTCACAGTTTTTTGAAATCATGAGTCAATTGAAGCTAGACCACCATTGAAAACCTGGAAGCACTGGACGGCCGTTTCGTCCTGGTATGGGACTCCTCAGCAGTGCGCATCCACGATCCCGCACCACGCGGGGCTCGAACCCAGGACCTACTGGCTTCGCGCGCGAGCACTTAACCACTACATCTATACATCTTATATTGATTAACCGAACATAATACGCTAACTGCTGCGATTTGCAAAATTGTCCCATCAGCACATTTTTTCATTGGAACTAAAAGACTGGATTTTAGCGCGTACGCACACACACACAAAGTAAAACCCATTTGTTGATCGCGTTTTTCATTTAATGGCCATATTGCAACCATATGATCAAATTTAATAAACCCTTTAAAGTTGTGAGTTGAAAGGCAGTCATTTCTATTCATATGCTATGTAAATGTAAGGAAATCAATGAACTGTATATGACTTGCCACAGTAACATGACTAATGAAATAGATTTTTCAATTGATTTTAAAATCGCTTCAATATCAATTAAATTTATGGGAAATGTAATACAACAGAAATGTACTAATTAGCTCCCCTCATCAAATATTTCTCTACAAACCAACAGTTAACAATAAATATTCTGACTGAACGGCTGAATCGGTTTCCTAGGCTCTTCTAGTAACCCCAGGCTAAATCTACACAACTTGAACATGAGAGAAAAGGCGCGAAATGTGCAGAAAACGCTTTATTCCGAAGTTAGTTTATGCACAGAAAATCGAGGGTACTTATAACATTCCAAATGGCTTTGGGCTTCTGGAACCCTACTAAACATGGTAGCAGGATATGTAGTCATCCAATCACAAACGTGACTCCTCACTTTCTAGATGTTTCTGAGAAACCCCTATTCAATGCTGATTGAACAAGATGTTTCCCGGCGTTTTCAGGGCCCCTCTAGGCTTTTTCCCAGAAATATTCTAGGCTTCCTCAACAGTTAACGACATCTCCCATAGGGAATGATAAAGACAAACTGTTAAAAAAGGAGTAACCTAGAAGTCAACTTATTAAGTTCAAAATCCTAGTTGAAATAACAACCATAGTGTTTTAACATTTTACAGTGAGAAAATATTGGAAAACCTGGGAGAAAAACACTAGACATTATGTCAGATCAGTTTTATTCTCTACCGAACCATATGAGGCAGATGAACTAAATTCACAAGATAACCTCAGCAGCTAAACTCAAATAAACACTTTCTATTAGAATGATGTATGACACATCACAAGTTTAATACGAGCATCAATTTGAAATCAGTTAATATGATTATATTTAATAAATTCACATGTAAAATAATTCATTGACAATCAAATAAACAACATATTCTATATCTTAACTACCCCTTAAGCAAAAGGATACATTATATCAATTCAAAAACTCCAAAATGCACCAAGAAGTCATTTAGATAGTGATATGACAGTGAAAGGACAAAACCACATTATTTTGCTCATTGTGATTTCTGTGTAATATTACTTCCATTTTTAGTGTAATATGATGATTAGTAAGAGTAATATTTATTTTGCTTTCCGAATTTTATATTTTATTCGTTATAACATTTATTTATTTGAGTGTGATGCTTATTCAGGATACGATATTCATTGTATTAAATTAATGTGAACTAGGCTCAACATGATAAGCAGCATGTCATTTGTCATAACCCTTAACTTTTTTCATATATGTGATTTCATCCTAACTAATAATCAAAATGGGTGTATATTCAATATATGAGTGTATTTTCGACTAGGGTCGTCGTGTTTTGGGATTAATAGAGGTACCTGAAAGGAAATGGGGTTAAAGTTGGTCTTACTGACCTGAAAGCGTGACCACAATGCCCAAGAGACAAATGCTTGAGGCCGGCCACACACCTTTTTATGTTAGCACCGCACTTGTTGAAACCTTACCGACGAAGATGGATATCCGCGGGATAAGGTGAGGTGTGCATTTTTTGGGCCGACCTTCCCTAACTCCACTCTTCCTTTGAGGGAAACGCCTTACTGACGTCACACCTCTGTACAGTCAGAAGCACAACTTCGCCCTCAGACGTTGGGTTTGTTGCTTATAGTGCTAGCGCTTCCCAACCGACCTGCCTGGTGTAATAGGAACTTGAGGAACGGATGTTCCAGTCCGTATAGCCCGATTGGTTTGTCATGATAGACAAACCCGACCACCACGTCAAGGTAGAAGCAACGGTCGGGTTTAAAGTTAGTAAATCTTTAGTTGCACCAGTCTTCCGTATTCTTACTTTACGTCGTGAGAATTGAAGTGGTTTCATTGTATAAATAATGAAACAACGCGGACATAACAAATAGTTATGAGATTTAAATACTTGACTGTATCTTAACTTCTTATGAAAAAAAGCTGGTTTCTGTCATTATATAATAAGTTATTTTTGAAAATTAATCCTTAATGGAAAACATCAACGTATTCAACTGAAAAATATAAATTTACAATTTATTAAAAGAAAAAAAGAAACTCAACATTGTACTATCAAGTAATTAAATTCCAGCCGAATATACAAAAAAATGGAATAGATAAGTGAGAAATACCCCGAAAAAAATAAGAAGAACGAATAAATTCATATTGTGAAAATTAACATCATTAAAAGTTCAAAGTCAGTCAGTCAGTCAGTAACAACGTAGAACTTCGTACGTACGTACATCAGTTCGAGTTGCCACACCACATTAGCACAGAGATGCAGTTGTCGATTCAAATCCCATAGTGGTAGAGGTAGTAAGAGTATAAAGAGTAATCGGAAAGATTAGGGTTTCGAGATGTTATTTAAAGAGTATAATACAGTGAAATAAATTTAGGAAGAGAAAAAGAGAGACAAGGAGGAATCAGGAGATTAGAATTTGGGAGAACACAAAGAGTGTATGCACCTGCGCCATTGCAAAGTGAAATGATAAAGTATTGGTAAGTAAAAGAAAAATAAGCAAAAATAAATGATCGAGAACAAAAAAACGTAGTTATACTACATAATTCTAATCAATACTTGATTACTTTCATAATAACATGTGGTAATAAATATGGCTGAAAATGTTGTTTTTTTTTTAAGAAAACAGAACATGAGAAAAGTATTGACTGAATTGTTCTCGATCATTTTTCTTCCATAGAAGAAAATTTTAAAAAATTAGTCAGAATCTGAATGTTGTAGACCAGAAATCTCTTCCTCGGAACCACCAATAGCTCTCCAAATTTTACATGTTATCTATAAAATAAATTGATTGATAAGAAAAAATAATTACAACAAATAATTAAATAGCACAGGTTGAAATCATGAGTCAATTGAAGCTAGACCACCATGGAAAACCTGGAAGCACTGGACGGCCATTTCGTCCCATTATGGGACTCCTCAGCAGTGCGCATCCACGATCCTGTGAAATTTCTAAAAAAAATCTCCACAAAACCCATTCTGATAATAATCAACTGCTCACTAGTGACTGACTTCAGGAAAAACTCCCGAAGTTCTAGTGAGAAGCCGTTACCAGTGGAGTTCAACCAGGTCTGTTGTGAAATATCAGCTCACTGAAGACAATGGTGTACGGTGGCGCAACTTCGTGGATTGGTTGAAGTTAGACATTGACACCGTTGGATGCCGGCTCAGTGGTTTAGTGGTCAAGTGCTCGCGCGCGAAACAAGTAGGTCCTGGGTCCGAATATCGCGGGGTGTGGGATCGTGGATGCGCACTGCTGAGGAGTCCCATACTAGGACGAAACGGCCGTCCAATGCTTCCAGGTTTTCCATGGTGGTCTAGCTTCAATTGGCTCATGATTTCAACCTGTGAAATTTCTAAAAAATATTCTCCACAAAACCCATTCTGAAAATAATCAAATAACTAAGTGAAGATAATATCTGTATATTATTTATAAATAAAGAAAATCTATAATATATATATGATTGTAAAGATTAATATACTATATAAATGGACATGATTCTGATACGCTTTGATGTTATGTTCTCCTATTCGATTTTCAAGTACAATATACACTTACTACTATAAATCGAAAGTTTAAATAAGCAGAAAGGTAATACTGTCAAATCGTTGACACATTTGTCGTTCTAACTCAAATAAGGACATATAGGCTGAGATCTTGACTAGAAGTATAAACAACTACATACTTTAGCATGCCTTATTTGTAATTTCTCACCTATTCTCCAACGTTGAAATGATAGGTAAGCACAGGTGCGTTGACTTATCCAGTCTACTATCTCTGCTTGAAAAAGTAAACTACTTAGGAGTGTGATAAAACTTGTTATAATTTCATAGGATTACCAACTGACTACAACGTGAATCTATCAACGACAATATTATAAACATCTTGATAGATTGTAATAACATCAATGATATACGTGATTCACACATTTTTTCAACTACTTTTAAATTTTCCACAAGCGTTAAATTCTTGTTTACTGAAATTTCACAAACAAGTGTAACTATGTATGCAGAAACCTTGAGGAGACTATAGAAAATATAAATTCAACAGTACCAAGAGAAAATGAAGAATAAAAAAAGAGAAATAGGGAGCTATGGAAAAGTAGGTAGGTTATCTAGAAAAGTATGACAATAAGATTTTTTTAAACTGATTCATCTCATTTGACTACCTTTTAATGTGATGTAACTAATTGAAGAACATATGGAACTCAAAACAACTTTCAACCAATATCAAAGTCATAATCTTCAATACGAACGTTAAGACAGTTCCACTATACAGAGCTAAAGCTTGGAGGACTACTACAACCATCATCAAGAAAGTACAAGTATTTATAAATAGTTGTCTACGCAAGATACTCAACATCCATTGGCCGGATACCAACATCAACAACTTACTGTGGAAGAGAGAACAACCCAGCTTCCAGCTGAAGAAATTAGGAAAAGACGATGGAAATGGATAGGACATACATTACGCAAATCATCAAACTGTATCATGAAGCAAGTCCTAAGTTGGAATCCTGAAGGGAAGCGGAAAAGAGGAAGGCCGAAGAACACATTACGTCGGGAAATAGAAGCAGATATGAAAAGGATCAATAACAACTGGAAAGGATTGCCCAGAACAGGGTTGGATGGAAAATGTTGATGAGCTGCCTATGCTCCTGCACAACGAGAAACAGGTGTAAGTAATTCATGAAATACAGAATAGTATGCTCGACTTTGAGCTACACTTCATGTACGAGACCAAGTTATACAACTCGTCTGAGTGAACCGAAACAGCTGAAGTTAGGTTCGAGACTGAGACCTAGTAGTTAAAAATCGAGTGCCTTATCCATCCACTAAACCCCTAAATACCGTGGTACGGCCGAGAGTGGGGAGAGTCAGCTCTACCTCGCAAAATACTCTCTTACAGCGTCTGCCAAGGATGTCCTATTCACTGCCTTCTCGCGGCATTACTGTTAATTAAGAAATCGAATGAACGAAAAGCGAATGTCCGGCCCTTTAACCGGGTTGGTGGATACGGAGTTCACCTAAGGGAGTTGGAAAACCTTGATTCCAAACCAATGGTGCACATGGGCTCCAGGATCCTGAAGGAATAAATGGCTTACAAACATATTCCTGGCCACCGGCTACCATTGGACTGCATCTCCTCACGTTGCTTCACTGCCTTGTGGACTAGACCTTAAGGTCGAAGGCTCCGGGTGTGATCCCCTGAGAAAATCAACTGCTTCAGTTTGGGCAACCGGGCAGTATCACAACCCACACACAAATCAAGTGACTTGTGTGCCACATATGTATTCTATGCCCATTTGTATCAATATTTATATGCTTTAATAAATAGTAAATAAATAATAAATACCACCAAGCCTTTATTTCATGTCTTAATAGTATACATTTATCGGCTTTCTCTTAAAAATCAATTAAATGTTAATCAAATTTATCTCAAAGGAAACTTGAATGCTTCACAAATCAGTAAAATGATAACAATTTATAACTTACTTTTTCAGCCATATTATATCTATCTGTAGAATTTAATGAAGCTATCTCATTACGTATTATTGGTAACTGTTTGAATAATTCTTCAAATTCACTTTCATTATTTAATGATGAATTGATATATTCATTATTATTATTATTTAAATGGATCTTATTTATATTATTCGATAAATTATTTACTAAATTTAAATGATTTTCATTATTTAAAGATTTATTATTAGTAATTGATTTCGAATGGTTTCGATTATTTTGATCTTTTAATTTAATAGAAAAGAGAAGGAAAAAAAGAGAGGAATTTCGTAAATGTTCTTTTAAAAGACTTTATATATATATATATATTTCAACACATAAATATTGGTACAAGAGGGCACCAAATATATATGCGCCACACCATATTTGTGTGTGTGGGCTGTGATACTGCCCCGGGTGCCCAAACCGAAGCAGGTGATTTTCTCAGGGGGCCACACCCCGAGCCTTTGACCTAAAGGTCTGACCCACAAGGCGGTGGAGCATCGTAAGGAGATGCAGTCCTATGGTAGCCGGTGACCAACGATTGGTTCATACGCCATTTGTTCCTACAGGATACTGGAGCCCATGTGCACCATTGGTTTGGAATCCGGTTAAAGCGCCGGACATTCGCTTTTCGTCCTCTCATTTCCGTAAACAACAGTAATGCCACGAGAAGACAGTGAGTAGGACTTCTCTGGCAGAGGCTGTATACGCGTGGCCGTGTGAGAGCATTTGGAGAGGGAGGGCGGGCCCACCCCACTCTCGGCCATGCCAGGGCATTTGGGGGCATATATATGCAGTACAATCTGATTATAGTGAAATGGGGGGAAAGGGTTTAAAACCCTTTTATCTTCTCCTATAGAGTTATAAATTAAATATCCATAGTAAATTATCATTTCACTGTATTTATTCCACTTTGAACAATACACTTCTTGTATTTACATTTTTATTATTTTCTATATTATTGTTCAGTTTATTTATTTTACCAAATTTCCCTTAGCTAAATTGATGAGTTTATGTGTGATAGGGGTGGAGAAAATTGAACTGATACTACACTTTTGCCAAGTTCAACAAACATGACAATAAATGATTGACTTTCACTATTATCAATGATACTATTATTTTGATTCCCTTGATTTTCCTACATTATTTACGACTAAGTGCCTTCTCGAGGCGGGGGTGTTGTTTACGAAATTAAAAGGACGAAAAGCGAATGTTCGGCGCTCCAACCGGGTTGGTGGACATGGAGAGTCCACCTATGGGAGTTGGAAAACCTTGATTCCAAACCAATAGTGCACATGGGCTCCAGTACCCTGAGGGAACAAATGGCGTATGAACCAATTATTGGTCACCGGCTACCATTGGACTGCATCTCTTTACCATGCTCCACTGCCTCGTTGATCAGACCTTCAGGTCGAAGGCTTCAGGTGTGGCGCCCTAAGAAAACCACCCGCTTCGGTTTGGGCACCCGGGCAGTATCCCACCCCTCACACATATCAAATGAGATCTGTGTGGTGCATATGTATTTGGTGCCTCCTCGTACCAATATCTATGTGTTAAATAAATAGAACTAACTGACTGAACTAAATTATAAAACTCATCTAAAGAAATGAATATATCTTAGTTAGTTAATTCACAAAGATTTTTTAACTTAAATACTATTTGACATGAAAGATATGTTTCGGTAATGCAATAAAAAGACGAAGATTATCAGAACTATGTAAAAACCAACGTGGACAGGTCAATATCTTAGTTATTATAGTTATTGCCCTATGCAATACAAACATGGTTTGATAAGGTGCCTATTCAACAAGCTTGAGTGTATTTGTACAAATGATGCCATTGATGATGATATTGAGTTGATAAATAAAATATTAATGGAAAATGGCTAACCTCTGAAATTCATAAATAGATGGGAAAGTCCATGATACAGTGAGACCTACTATAGCCTTGGTAGGAAAAAGCCTATCTACATCCCCTTACCATTCAGAGATTATTTAAATAGCGTTTTATTGAAACAAAAGCTTAAATCAGTCATCAACGAAACGTATTGCGCAGCAAAGGTCACTAACAAAGAAAGAACAAGGTGCATGCTTCATCCAAAACCTAAAAGACATGAAAACGATTGTGTCACATTCTACTGTGTTTACCAATTTAAATGTTTGTGTGGTCACACATACATAGGGAGGAGCAATCGTGATCTCAAAATTAGGGTGTGTGAACATGTACCTAAATGGTTGCAGAAACAAATACAATCAAGTGACCCATTAAGAGTAGATGATAAACATCCATTATCCTCTATCGCTAAACATATAATCGAAACAGGTCATAAGATTGATCTTAACTCGGCTTTTGTGGTGTTGTATAAAAGTATAAAAGGGTGTATACTAAGGTTTACTGAAGCCGTAGCCATACGAAAATTCAAATCCCCTTTGTGTATTCAAAAACAGCTTGTTCTCACCTTAAACCAACCATGGTAATATTGGCTTATTATTAGTTATTACTCTTATTATTATCATCCTTGTCTCCTCTTACCCCATTTCTAGTCTAGTTGACTTTTTATTTTTTTTTATACATCAACGTTTTAAACAAGTGTACTATGTGTGATCAGATTGTTCAAAATGTATTACGCTAATATATCATCATATAGTTCTGATAATCTTCGTCTTCTTATTACATTATCGAAATTTATCAGAAGGGACTAATTGCTTGAAATTTATCAAATAATTCACCTTTGAAGTCAATAAATTATATTTTTTTAAGTAAAAAAAGACATTACGAATAGTAATATTTTTTGTGATATGAATTTATTTTACAGATTAGTAAAAATATCAAGTAAATATTTGATAAATACAATGATTCCTTCTATAATAATAAGAATTTGATTTTGTAACTGACATTATTGATTAGTAACTTTAATGAAATTTGAGTCTGGTAAGTATACAGTAGAACTTTAATTTGTACAAAATAAAATTGATGCACCAGTCTTTTGTGATAATAGGATATGATAACTTGAACTGATGTATATAAGTAACAGGTTCTACAATGTGACTAATTGATTGTTTCAACTAATAAATTAACTCCAAGTTTATCTCATTATCTTAGCAATTAACAGTAAACGCTGGAAAAACTGGACACATGCATCTTTAAGAGTCAGGAAAGTCAGTCAGACAGTCAGCTACAACGTAGGACCAGGTATATATATGCATCGGTCCAAGTTGCCACATCTTATTAGCACAACAAGATGAACACCGGATTCATAGGAGTCAGTCAGTCAGTCAGTAACAACGTAGAACTTCGTACGTACGTACATCAGTTCGAGTTGCCACACCACATTAGCACAGAGATGCAGTTGTCGATTCAAATCTCGTAGTGGTAGGCGTAATAAGAGTATAAGCAGTAATCGGGAAGATTAGGGTTTGGAGATGCTATTTAAAGAGTATAATCCAGTGAAATAAATTTGGAGAGAGGCAAAAAGGGACATGAAGAATTCAGAAGAATAGAATTTGGGAGAACACAGAGAGTGGATGCACCTGCGCCATTGCAAACGATTTTGAGCCATGTCATTCAGGGTCTCTAACCATCGGTTGCTATCATCTCGTGGTCCCCAGCCAGGTAGTCTACACCTACCAACATGACTCAGTCCACTTGTCAGTGATTTCACGGACTCGTGCTATGTTTTAGTTTGGCCGCCCCTAGCTTTCTTCCAACCTACTCCTATACCACTGAACATAGCACGTCGAGGTAGTCGGTCGTTGGGCATACGTAACACGTGTCCCAGCCATCTCAATTGATGAAGTTTCACTACTTCATCAATTGATTTGCCATCCTTACCTAGTACCCGTTTCCTAACAACTGCGTTACTTACTCGATGGTCCCAGGATATACGAGCAATGTTTCGAAGACACCTATGACCGAATACTAGTAACCTACGAATATCCTCTACTCTTACCGGCCATGTTTCACTGCCATAAAGTAGGACGGGACGAACTGCTGCGCAGTAAACACGTCCTTTGGTTGATAGACGGATATCTCGCCTACGCCATAAATGACGCAAGTTGGCAAAAGCTAGTCGAGCCTTCTGTATCCGTGCTGAGATTTCGTCACACACCAAACCACAAGGGCTGATGAGACTTCCAAGATAAGTGAAACGGTCGACACGCTCAATTACTTCACTCCCTATCACTAGTTCGGGTGTCGATGTAACCCAATCCTGAAGCAACATTTTGCATTTCGAGGGAGAGAATCGCATACCGATCATGCTTGCATTGTTGCTTACAGTGGTCAGAAGACTCTGCATTTTGTCAGCGTCTTCACCAAATAAAACTATGTCATCTGCATATTCTAAGTCAACAAGTGAACCTCCCGGTACAAGTTCAACCCCTGGAAATTGAGATGAGGAGAGTGTTATCTCTAAAAGTACGTCGACCACAAAGTTGAACAAGAATGGAGAGAGTGGACAGCCCTGACGAACACCACTTGAGGTAATCAATTCTGATGACAGTTCGCCATAAGCTCTCACTCTACCAGTTGTGTTCGAGTAGAGAGCCTTTATAAGGTTAATGTACTTCTTTGGTACTCCTTTCAGTGACAAACACTGTCATAGAACCTCACGATCAACAGAGTCGAATGCCGCCTTAAGGTCGAGAAATACTACCATTGTGGGGCGTCTGAATGTGTGTCTGTGTTCTAGAACCTGACGTAGTGTGAATATCTGATCTATACAACCACGTCCAGGTCGAAAACCGGCCTGGTTTTCTCTAATCTGCTCTTCACGAGCTTCGATTAGGCGTCGAAGTATTATTGAAGCTAATATTTTAGACACTATATTAGTTAAACTGATTCCTCTGTGATTGTCACAAGAGGACTTTTGTCCTTTCTTATAGACTGGCACAATCAGTGATTGAGACCAGTCAGATGGGATTACGTCCAGTTCCCAAATTCTACCTAAGACCTCGGTTAATCTCATTGTTAATACTGGACTACCATCCTTAAAAATCTCAGGAGTAAACCTGTCAGGGCCTGCTGCTCTCGCTCGTTTCAGATTTCCTATGGCTTTTTCAACTTCGTAAAGGGACGGAGGACCTACACTAACTTGCCATTCAGGTTGACTAGAGATCGTGGGAAACCGAAGTGTGGCTGAAGGCCAGTTGAACTGATCCCTAAAGTATTCTGCCCATCGATTCAATCTCCTGGATTGAGAATGAATAATATGTCCATCTTTCTCTGAGATTGTTTCGCTAACGGTCGGGTTCCTAATTCCGGTTTCCTTAACGAGTCTGAACAATTGTCTGCTATTACCTATTGCCGCTGCCTTTTCCATCTCTCTTGCTTTCGCTACCCACCACTGTTCGCGATCATTGCGTAGACTTCTTGTCAGCTTGCGCTCAAGCTGACTCCGCTCTTCATTATGTTCAGAGCCAGGTGGAATGAGTTTCCGAGCATCTATCAGTGCGATAGATGCTGCTGAGATCCAGTGTTGCTCCCTAACCTTCTGGTTTACCTTACTAGCAGATATCACTGCTGTTTCCACAGCTTTCCGGATATCATTCCATGCTGCATCGGGGTGGGCATCACATACATGGCTGCCTAACTGTTTTCCTAGTTGTTCCTGAAATATACTCTTAGCTTGACTATCATTAAGTAGGACCCTAAGAGGTTTCCTTGCAGCGTCTTTCCTACGTCCAGTAAGACGCAAGCAAATACGCGCTCGCACTAGAGCATGATCTGAATCCAAGCATGTGCTCCAGAATGAGCGACAGTCTTCTATCGAGCCCCTTCATCGGTGGCTGATAGCGATGTGATCTATTTGGGTCCAACGTTGGGACGAATTAGGGGGTCGCCAAGTTAAAAGATGTTTTTCCTTATGCTTAAAGTTAGTATTTGCAAGGAACAGGCGGTTATCTGAACATAGCTGCAACAGACGGTCGGCATTATCTGTTCTTTGAGCCACGACACCATAAGATCCACCTAGTTGTCTTTCCCTATCGCTTAGTTTACCTACTTGAGCATTAAAGTCACCGGCCACTATTACTACGTCAGAGCGCTTAGCTTTTCGGAGAAGGTCTGAAAGCTTTCTGTAAAACTCATCTTTTACATCATCTGAGCTGCAGTCAGTGGGAGAATAGGCAGAGACGACGAAGAGGCAACGACGAGTGTCCCTATCTTTCCGGATTCTTACTGTTCCGTTCAGTCGGACAGCGCACAAGCGGCTGTCTACTGGGACCCACTCTAAGAGAGCTAGTTCTGCTCTGGGACTCAATGCTATACCTACGCCGGCGAGGCCACGGGAAGCAGAATCAGGGCTTCCAGATACACGAAGCGTAAATCGAGTCGGTTCTTTATTTTGGCATGGTGAGGTCAAATGAATGACGCTACTCGGGTCCTGTATGCGCGTTTCGGAGACGCAGCACACATCGATGGCGCGGGATTCTAAAGTCCTAGCTAAGGAAGCCTGCTGTCCTATTTGGCACAGTGTTCGTACGTTAAAAGCTCCTACGTGTAGTTTAGAGCGTGGTTTCAGGAGACCAGGAATAGCGTTCCACGTACTCGAATCGTTTGCCCTAGCGGTGCGAGGTGATAAAGAGACGTGAGGAGGGTTAGTCATGGAGATAAGAGAGGTATTAGGAGGTGTAGGAAGGATTTGACTGTGACCAACTTGGTCTCGTGTGCTGTTACGGGCATGAGGGCTGATGTCACTTCCCGGCTGCCCACACCGCGGAAGGGTATTTCTTGAGGAACCTGAAGAGGAAATTGGATTAGTGTTGGTCTTAACGACCTGGGAGCGTGACCGCAGAGCCCAAGGGACAACTGCTTGAGGCCGGTCGCGCACGGCCTTTTTGTGGAAGGTTTTTGACGTGTTAGCTCCGTTCTTCAAAGGGCCTTACCGCCGGAGACGGAAATCCGTGAGGTAAGGTGAGGTGTGACATTTTTAGGGTCGACCTTTTCTAACCCCACCCCTCCTTGTGGGAAGGCAGCATCGCTGTCATGCTGGTTGTCCGAGGGAAACACCTTACTGCTGTCACACCTCTCTACAGTCAGCAGTACGACTTCGCCCTCAGACCTTGAGTTGCTGCTTTTAGTCTTACCGTTCACCAATCGACCTGCCTGGCATGGTAGAACCTACAGGAACATATGTTCCAGCCAATATAGCTCGGTTGGGTCATCACGATAGGCAAGCCCGACCACCGCGTCTAGGTAGCAGCTTCGGTCGGGGATTCATAGGAGTGGTTAGGTCAATGGTTGAAATATATAAAAGAAAGATTGAAATAAGGATATAGTATAGGAAGAAACAATTAGTTCGTAGAAAGAAAGATATGAAGTGATTTCAATCTCTTAGTTTAAGGGAAGACAGGGAGTGTATACACCGACACCATTGTGATCGATTCTGAGCCATGTCACCAAGAGTCTCTAACCATTGGTTACGATAGTCACGCGGACACCAACCAAGTAGTCTGCATCTACCAACATGGCTCAGACTAGAAGTTAGTGTCCTCAAGCACTGATGCCACGTTTTGGTTTGGCCGCCCCTTATTTTCTTCCAACCATCTCTAACACCGGTTAGCATTGCACGTCGTGGTAATCGGTGTTTGGGCATACGTAACACGTGGCCCAACCATCTCAGTCGATGAAGATTCACAACCTCATCAACTGATTTACCATCAAGAGAGCGGGTAAATAAGTATAAGTAGTCAGGTGAATAAGTCAAAAGAAACCTATGACCAAATTATTTTCTTTACTATCATCATGCAAAAGAAATTCCTGATAATAACAATAGTACTTATATACCTTTAGGCTTCATATTTGGCCAGATATGTGTTTCCAATATAGATATTATTCGTTTTACTCCAAATTCTTCGCCTGAAAACGAAAGTCCCCAAAAATCATTTATTGTAATATACAACTGTACTAGTTTCAAAAACAGATATTTTGCTAAACGGTGGATTACTTGCAAAAGTATGAGTTATTAAAAATGAAAATAGTCAGACCAATTTACCGAATGCTTAGTAAGGTTTTCTGCGACTATGGCAACGACATCTATTGCATCAAACATACAAAGCCAAATCTTAATAACAATCATGCTTGAACATACAAAATTATCTAGACAAATTCTATCATTTAATAATGATATTTAACAGGTCAGGGGCTGTTGAAATTACAATAGTCAGTTATTAATCAACTGATTTCCTAAAACGAAATGTAAGGTATGTTACCATATTTTCAAATCCGTTTAGACCCATTCTAAGGTTACTCCCGGTCCTAGGTCCGGGTAAACAAAGGTTGGGCACGGGTTTAGCAACCCCATCCCATAGAGAAGAACCTTGCTAAAAAAAACGAACTGTATGATCAATGATATCGACCTTTATAATTCCTGTTCAACTACATTATTTACATACTGATGATGGCGACTTTATTTAACTTCAATTTTATTGGAGTTGACCTTTTATTTTCTGCTAAGTAATTACCAATACATAGATAATATAAATTCGTTAGGCAGAGACAGTGACAAAATAAACTTCTTCAGAGTACCATGAGTAAAAATCGAAAAAAGATGGTATTGCAGAACTGACATGTGATGGCAGTTTGTTTAGAGACGAACAGTGATGTGATTGTGCGAATATTAGTTAACTCGGTTAATAAATAGTATCAGGCCTGACTGACTACTTACTAACAAAATATCGCGACCACTAAATAAATCTAGCTTGGCACCCGCCAACTTATACCACCAATAGTACTAGTCCAACCATCCAATTATCAAAAGGTGAGTACAATGTAAAGAAGCGAGCTCTTTTCTACACCATGGCTGTGAAATAAAACTGCTGATTGAGATAAGTATACTAAGACAGTAAATATACAACAAATATTTTCGTGACACCAATCGCGTTTAATGGAACCATAAAATAATTAGTGTTCATCTAGATTCAAATTCTAGGAAATAAGGACATGTTAGTTGTTTAATTCGTGTACCTGTGCTGATCGAAGTGAGTGAGTCCGATACTCTATTTATTTTAATAAGGATAGACGATCCTCAGAGGAGATAATCGACACATTAACAAGACTACAAAAGGCCAATAAGCAAAAATACCCAGTACCTTCTTCAATAGTATCTTCATTTGGCGAAATTTCAACTAGCTCAAACTCATGATCCAGAATAATGCGTGTCATAACCGAAAAAGCATCTGGCTCAGAAGGAAACAAAATAGACGGATTAACAGTATGACACACTAGCATCCGTATGGATACGTCATGACTAATAGCCAAGCCCATCAGTTTAAGAGCATCATTCCAACTAGACACCTTAAGGAGAAAATGGATATGAACAAACAGGAAATATATTGACGTAGAGAGAACGAATTCAAGAAAAATCAGAAGAAACAAGACGCTAGTCGTGATTAACAGGTTTAATGACACAACTGCATAACAAATGTGATAATGACTATGTGGATAAAAAACACGTGAAGCAGCGAATCGCAAAACGTCAAATGTACACTAACGTATTTACAGCAAGATCAACAACCCAATGTTTGCCCTAGCATGGGAAGGCATATTTGATAAGCCCCAACTTAGAACGAAGCAAATGGATAGGGTTGATTCGTCTGCAATTATTAACTGGCTTTGATCATTGATGAAATAATTTCTCAAACTATTCATTAAACATTATCTAATGAAACAATATTATTTTGATTTTACTTTTCTTAAGTGATACTTCATCTATTTGCTATCCTATAAATTTGGTAAATGGAAGTAATGAAATGATGCACCACATTTTTTGTCAATTTTCATTATTGCCCGAAGCAACGCGGATTGGTGTATAATTTCAATTTCCTCCCTTTTTTAACCAGTCTTTGGTAATGAGCTAAAATGATGGAACCAGATTAAGTTGTATTTTTATATTTCTGCAAAATAAGAGTACTAAATGTACAAGCGATAAATGTAAGTCAAGTGCCTTTTGTTTTACAAAGTAATAATGTAAAGCGAAATGAGTCTTTCTACATAGGACTAAGGACTCTGGAAATATTTAGCCTGTTATTAAGGTAGTAAAGTGGCGTTACGCTAAAGAATCGTGAACTCAGATGAATATTGTTTATTATCCTAATTTTGGAAGAATTGTTCTAAATATCCAAGGTTAAAGTACACTGCATAGTGGAACCGGAATCATGATTTCAAAAAGTGAGCTGATAATCTCTCCATTAAACACTATTACCTGCTACTGGTAAGTATAAAATAGTAAGGCGCTTACAGAATAAAAACTGGCGATGCATCTCTACAAGTTTATAAGGTACATAACACTACTGCATATACTTAGTATTCGCTTTCAATTTAGAGAGATTCGTGGTTTTAACAGTGCGAACTCATCGTTCTTTTTGTCCTTCCAATCCAGCATCCTTTAATATTTCCAACCACAATACTCTTCTCTCACTAACCAAGAAAACAAAAGAGCGGAAATAGAGGTGAAATTTTAAACAAAGTACTGAAGAAATGCTTTCAGGACAGTGTGAATATGGGCGACAATGCATCAAATTCCTTTTCGCCTCTGTCCGAGGTAAATAGTAGAAATTTTCATCTGATTTTCTCATTGAGTGGAAATATCTCGAAGGTAACACTTCCACTTTTCCCAAATCGTCCACTTTTCTCCAATATTAACACCGAATTGTCTACATTTCCCCCAAATTCGAGTGACCTTATAGTTTCCTCTAATTGTCCTGCTTCGATTTGGGCACCCGGGCAGTATCCCGGCCCTCACAAAATAGAGTGATTTATGTGGCGCAAATCCATTTGTTGCCTCCTTGTACCAATGTTTATGTGTTTAAATAAATAAATATGTCCAAGACCAATTCTTTTAAGAGCACAGTCCAGTATTACTATATCATTTGTTTTAAAATTAATGCGTCTATTCCCAGATTAATGTACAGATACTCCGAAACATTTCAGAGTTGAACATAATCAAAAGGAAATATGGGGGGCACTCGAATTTCAGTTATATAGCAAGTCGCAAACAATGATATCCGGTATCAATGTAATGCGACAGATGATATTACTATGAAGAACACCAGTCAAAAACCTCGGCTGGAGGTTAGCTAGCTTACAGTTACCTTTATAGATTGAAGAGTTGGAAATCTTAGATGCATATCTCCAGCAAAAAGGTAAATTTGCAAGTAAACTGACTAAGTTTACTGCTTGTTTACTACGTAGATGGCGATGAAAACTAGGCCGACGGATAATCATTCGAAAGCCTCAATCATACCAATTTTATCCTACCTAATAAAACCCGATCAGGGCAATAAACTTCGCATTGATGGGAACGACCACAAAATGGAGTATTTTATAGTTTCGATTCTACAGCAGTATAATAGGTAATACTATATTTGTCTCTTATATGCAAGGTCCCTTAACATCTAAATTATTATTGTACAATGTTAATGAAAAAGTTGAGTGTCACCACTTAATTAGATGTAGCAAGTAGGCGTTATTATCCACTAGTGTTTCGTTTAAACAAGAGGTTTCTTTGAAAGAAAAACAAACCTTGTACTAACTACCTTTTTTAGATTATGGTTGAAGATAACTCCGTCAGTCACAATAACGAAGTTTTACTGTCACATGAGCGTAAATATAATTGGCAACTACGCGTGCTTCATAGAAATCACGCTTCTGAATAATGTCAAGTGCGCAGAAAATGTGGTAATCTTTACGGTTAACCCTAAGGAATTGAAGGTGAATTTCCTGGACGGAACCAGAAAGGATTGCCCAGGACAGGGTTGGATGGAGAATACTGGTGAGCGGCCTATGCTCCTTCACGAGGAGTAACAGGCGTAAGTAAGTAAGTAAGTTCCTGAATAGACAAGACATGGGGAGAAGGTTCATCAATTTACACGGAAATTTAACTACCCGATGTGTTAATTGTCGAGAAAAGTAGATAATTTGAAAACGGTGAGTATCAATTCCGTACTATTTACCTCGGACAGAGGCAAAAGAAAATTTGATGCATTGTCGCCTATATTCACACTGACCTCTCTGGAAGAAATTCTTCAGTATTTTCAAACAGTTAGTCTTTATTTTATCTTCACAATCTGCTTGGAATGTGTTATTGTTAATCATTAAAATAAGACAGTATGCGTAACTGTATCCTTACCTTATCCCCAGAAAAACAAATGATAACCCCGTGAACATTGAGAAACTCTGGTGACTTGCTAAGAGCACATAATTTGTCTACGGATCGAATAATTATATCAGCTGAGTAGTATTTGCAATCGATTTTGAGCTCATACTTCGAATCACATATTTTAAGCACTTGAATTTGTCAAATTAGATTGGAATTTGTAACGTACAGTTGTCAAGCAATGTTCTCAAGTCACAGCCACTTTCCGAAACATCAATATATACAATCTCAGGTAAAGCCATCGGACGACCTTGAAATCTTCATATTATGCGTCGAGGGTGACCAAACGCCAAACTCAAATAGTTCAGATTGTTTAAATGTTTGTGGATGGAATGAAAGCTTCCGCTTAATAGACTTCCGTGTCTAGTGGCAGTGGATCACCTCTAGATAGAAACCAAGGCATATTTATTGCTGAACGAATTCGGTACGTCATAATGAATTATTGTACTGAAACCTAAGGAATATGTCCGGTTTCCTACTGAAGGACGCCTGGGATATCACTTGAACTGCCTAATCCGGCAGCAAACTTCAGCATTCGACTACTTCCACGGAGCGGAAAGCGTGCCTACAGTCTGTTCTGCTACGTTGTGTCTCCAGCTTCGGGTCTTACCCCTTTAGTTTGTGTTGGGACTGAGATTAAGTGGGTATTTAAGACGATGACTGGGAGCTCTTAGGACACAATGAGTCGTCTCCAGGTCACCTACGGGACTTTGACACTGTAATGGATAAAGGCCTGGAGATTTGAAGCCTTTTATGTAAGGCTCGAATTTGAGTTCCCGAACTGATTTCGTGACCCACCTATGAATTAGTTCCAATTCATCCTCATACTTTTGGAGTGACGGAAGAAACACTGTGTTTCCACGCAGTTAAAGATTAAGTGGAAAGTTCTGTCGTCGAACTGGCCAAAAATGCACTTCGACATGACTAGTTCAAGATTTGCCGTAGTTAGTATAAGGCTTCAGATCATAGGGTACCAACACTCTCAAGTCTTGTTCAACTTGAGATACTTCCAGAGAGTAATTACTTGAGTTTTACGCGTAGTCTGCTACATGTCTTACATGGACTACTTTGTACTTTGAAGTGTTAAGTGTAAGTCCTTTGTTATCTACCTAACTTTGAAGTCGAGTCAGGTTTTCCTTACGTTATTCGTCCTCGTTCCAAACATCTCTCGGAAGTTTCACGTCATCAGCGAGACGTAACAAATAAGATAGTACTTGCTGAGTAAGGCTAATTATGCAAGTTAAGAAAATAAAAGGTTAATGCTACTTTCATCCCTTTCCAATTGTCCCTAAATAGTAGTTTCTTCTTTGAATAAATCTTGTAGGGTTCGAAACCCGCTTCTGAAAGCACTCTTGAAGTGTTTGAGTGTGACAGTATGTCAGAAGAAGACTGTATTGAACCTTTGTAATGCTGTTTCCTCAGTCGTCCAGTGCTTTTTTGTCTTCAGACTCAGCTCATCAACCACAAGCTAGTGATGTGAAACACAAATGACAATGTTTTCGAGAATATTCTTAATGAAGAATGCTGGGATGATATTTTAGTTCTGAAACAAAAGCGTGCTCCTAGAATTTCAAACTTATTCAATATGAATTTCACCACGCACTTCTCAAACACTTTCGAAACACTCCGCTAAACTGACTATCCCTTAGTAGTTCGAAACCGATATAAGAGATCACACGAATAAGGTAATAAGTTAAATAATTTGTAATCAATTCACAGTATGTTTTGGAAACACACTCTTCATTAAACATTTCGAAAACCATTTCTTTTGACTGATCCTAAGGCGGAGGGACAGAGGGGGAAGAAAGCATATTTTATGCTACTCAAACTGCTATTCCTTATTTAAGTGCCCACGCGTAATAATATCTTTCCTTTTGATGGTCGCTCTTTGGTAGTCTCCCTTATTTAGCAGTCGCCATTTTTCTCGCGCCCTTTTGAACGGATATTCCATAACGGAGGGCCCATTCCATATGTGGTTTTACGATTCCTACCTAAAATACACGAGCATATGCAGCATAGACGCTCAGTACAACGTTGAATTTTCATGACCGAGTCTACAGACTTGAATATTACTTTCCATATGAGCTTTGTCATCACTAACCGTGTGTTGTGATAATCAGTCTGCGCCAATTATCAATGCGTTCTCAATAAACATTCCAGATAGTGTAATATAATATTATTCTGTGATTACATTTTAAAGTGAACAGTTGACGCTGTATAACACTTCAACTGAGATCAGGTGCCCAGAGACTCTTAAAAATATCCATTGATACAGATATCCGACCATGGTAGATAAAAACTGCAAGTTCATCCGGTATGTAGTCCCACCACCTTTTCCCCTTCGAAAAATCACAGAGACCAAGGTAGACAAACAGTCAGTACAGAGAAGAGAAAAGACCCTCACCAACCCAGGAAAAATCTCAACATGTATTCACAAACAAAGTGCCTATTTCAAAGATAGTCCATAAGTCTAATGCCGTCACACACTGATAAGGAAATAACTTCTTCAGTCGAATTATCAAGGCCAAGTATAGTGACGTTAGGCTAGGAGTGGCACCTGTAGTGTGGCGTCGAGTTACGTTTGCCTATGATCACCACTACAGGAAGACTACGTGCCAGTTAGCCGATAAGATCCCCCGTAGGCCAAATATAAGAAGGCAGTTGGTAGCTGTAGTCGAGATATAGTTGTTGGCGATCTTGTGGTATCGAAAGAATGCCGAGATCGTGCCCGGTTACAAGTGTGGTTACTGAGCGTAACGGAATTCGTGCAAGGTCACAATCAACGGAAGAATTTATTTTCATGGTACAGTTAAACAAACACGTACAGTAAAACAATCCTTGGTACAATTGGTTATAATAATAATTGTTTCCATTACACTAATCGCGCTCTGTTGATAAAAGTAGGTCACAACACACCCGTGACACTGGACGACAAACAAGCATAGAAACCCATCTCACAAACAATCTGATCACCTAAATACCACTATATTCTCCTCAAAAACTGTAAAAAGAAGGCAGGGCACACCCCAGTCGCTGTCTAGTGACTGCTGTTAAAAATTTAAACTTACGAGCAATAAAAGTGATTACGTTCGAAATTTAGAAGAATATTTAAAAAAATGAACTTTCCTAATTACCGTAAATCTTGAGATTGGTACATTCAGCAGCATTTCAGTTTGGTTTTTACCTCAAGGAACTGCGCTGTTCCTGGAAGAGCGTGAAAAAATATGTTTGATACGGAGATCCACCACGGTGCTTTTCATGATACTCCATATCTATCCTCCCACTAAATAATCTTTGACCTATTTTCTAACTGTTCCGTGAACTTTTCAATAAAATAAACTCCGGCACAACTGATATCAAATCCTATATCATCGTAAACCTTCTGCGACTGAGTTCTGAAAAGAGGATCTCCTGATACAACTTAGTTGTCTCAAGATAGCCCATACGATTTCAAAAAACAAGTGTCTTTATTTCCCATTGCTAAGGAATATCGAGGCAGGATGAAAAGGCTGTTTTGTACTGTCGTTCTACATCCATCACAATCCGAAATCAACTGCCTGTGAAAACCATCATTATACAAAATGTTGTAAAGTGTGCCTAGTCACTAATATAACCATCAGAACAAAAATTCCCAAAAAAGTCAGAAGCTTTCAACACTATCAAGTTTCTGTATTTCTACGAACTCCTCGGTTCTCATATGGCCTTAAGAGCTAAAATTAGTGATCCATCAGAGTAGTTTAGCCACGGTCAACTGCAAGATAGCTGAAGACTGCCTGAACACTTCTGCAATTTCCGAGATAGTGTTTTAATGACTTGACTTCCGCAATATTATTTTCACTGATTATTCCTTTTTCAGCCTCCAATTAATCGAAACAACTGTAGGTTATCATAACACTAGTGACGGTCCTCTCACTCATTAGTCGCCTTTCACGACTAACAGCGATAACCTATAGGATTCTTCGCTAAATATATATTTATTTAACTACATAAACATTGGTGCAAGGAGGTATCAAATAGATATGCACCATATTTCATTGTTCGACTTGCGTGAGCACTGGAATACTACCCAGGTGCACAAACCGAAACAAGGTTGACTAAATAAGCAAAAGCAGGTGATGAATTCCTACTCCGTAAATATAAAGTCTACGTTTCGCGCAAATAAAGTTTTATTCAAGATTTATCTCAGAATTTAGGCATAGAAGACCCATTGTTCAGTGATAAGACGAGATTCATAACGATAGAAGTGATACTGGGAGAGCCCGAATAGTTGGAGAGTAAAATAAAACCACTATCCTACGGGTGTTACTAATGAGGGACGGAAAATATGGGAGAACGACAAATGTAAACCAGCAAGTAGCACTAGGATGTCTTCCATATCATCAGGGTTGGTGTTGTACTTTGGAAAAGTAGAAAACTTCTGGCTTTATCAATTCCTGATCGGGTTACGTAAGACAGGGTCAGATAATCATTCTACACATTTGCAGCTGTATTGCGCGTAGGACCATTGACTAAGTAACAACAGTTCATACCTTAACAACTACTGACCCTCGAGTTCCTTACAACCGTGTCCAATTAGAAGACGGAGTCACTAAGCAGATACATCCCATATTGTGTAACAATCTAGTTCAATGAATCAACTCACATAAAAATACAGAGCAATTTCCCGAATACATGGACATAAATACGGAACTGTTTGCAGAACTATCGCACAAGTTAAAGGCCAATGATTAGTTAGGAATAACTCAAGTAAGATAAAAAAAATAAAACAACGACCTGTGCCCCAACAGTAAGATTACAATCTGGAGAATATAAGAGTATAATAAGTTAAATGTCTGATAGTTATACAATGATAACCACTAATTCTCCGTCCGATAGTTACACAAATTACAGCCCTCTCGATAGTCACTTCCACAGCAGCTGGCACTTTCAGCGGAGGATTAAAAGAATAGTTAGACCAAGCGATAGTAGTCCTGAACAATTAGTCCAGTTTTGGTTGTTAGTAATCAGGAAATTGTCATCGTAAGTCCCCAGGTAGCTGACGTCTCGAAACGTCTCTTCGGTCACAAGATGTTCGAGCACATATCACCCAGTCATAGTCAAAACCCTTAATACTGAGCATATCGGGCTACAAATATCTCCTAACAGGAGTGAGGCACCAACAGTAGTCAAGTAGTGATTCAGGTGATGTTTGTCTCTTAACTCCCGTGGCTAATACTGGGTGATGCGAGCTCCAATCACAGAG